AGGACAGAGACAAAAATACTTAATAAACATAATAGATAAGTATGCTAAAAGAAGATATGTTTATGGATAAAATGGAGCAGGATAAAGAGATCAAGACGATAATAAGGAAATGGCGATCTTGGCCTGGACTCTGGAAAGAGAAATTTCTCTTGCAAATTCCTAGTCACCACCAGGTGTGGTAGCGCATGTCTGTAGTCCCAGCACTTGGGAGGCAGAGGCAGGAGGATCTCTGTGAATTCAAGGCCAGCCTGGTCTACATAGTGAGTTCCAGGCCAGCTGGGGCTACAGGGAGACCCTGTTTCAAAAAGATCCCCCCCCCCAAAGTTCCTAGTCACCTTCTGCCTTGAAGGTTAGTGGTGAGTGGATGTGGACTGGGGCTGGAGGCTGGTATTAATTCTAATTAATGCAGAAACACCGAAGTAAGTAATTAACATCAGCTGATTGTGGGTTTTTCTTTGCTCACCTTTTCAGAGGTATAGACAGTTGCTGCTCAACAGAAGCAGATGTTCCATCTAGGCTGCCAAGAGTCCTTAAATATAAAACCCCAAACTTGACTTAAAAAAAAAAGAGGAAATGATGCCATTAATGTAGATTTAGGATTCAATAAGCTAAAGCCAGGACTGAGTTGTAACTCTGGGGTAGAGCATTTATCTAGCATGTATAAGTCTCCAGTACTTAAGAAATCAAAGCAAAACAAACCCACACCCTGATGCCAACGCCTGTGCTCAGAACTCATCTGTACACTCTCTACAGATGTACCAGAGCTTATACTGCACACGCTCAAGCAGGGCGTTGCCTTAGAACTCACCAAATTTAGGATCATAGAATCTTGGAGTTGGAAGTGACCCAAGAAATCCCTACTCTTGTCTCCCTAACAATGCAGGGCACCATCAGCCTTTGCTCAGACACACCTGGGGAAGGGATATGTCCTCTTGACAGCAGGAGGACTTATCACAGCTGCCAAACAATGTCGCCTAAGCAGGACAGAGTCCCAGGCTGGCTCTGCAGTCCACCTGGTCAGGTGATCCTGGGCAGGAAAACTAACCAGATGAGTCTAGGCTTTTTTATCTATAAGAATATCACATGATGAGGGCTGAGCAGAATAATAAACACAAGGCCTACCTGGCACATAAAAGATCAGGTCATTTTCCCTTCCCAATAGTGTCTAGATCTATATAATCAATGAAAGACTTACTCTGGTCTGCAATAATCAAATTAGACCTACTTACAGGTATAAGATTGAAAAATTTAAAAACTTGTATTGTTGTGTATATGCACGCATCATGGGGGTGGTGTGTGTGTGTGTCACAGGACAACTTTGTGGAGTTGGTTCTTCCATTTTTATGTGGGTTCTGGGGATCAAACTCAGGTTGTCAGGCTTTCATGGCAAGTGCTTTTACCCACAGAGCCTTCCTGTCAGCCCTAGGTTTTTTAAAATTCAAGTTTTTAATAAAAATTTAAAAATTACATTTCTCTCTCTCTCTCTCTCTCTCTCTCTCTCTGTGCGTGTGTGTGCGTGTGCATGTGCATGTGTGTGCACTGGCATAGTCAGAGCTTATTGCAGTCAGTTCTCTCCTTCTCCCATATGGGTTCGAGAGATCAGACTCAGGTTGTCAGGCTTGGTTGTAAGTGCCTTTACCCACTGAACCATCTCACTGGTCCCTTAATTCAAATTTTAGTGAGGTAAAATCCTTATTGTGTTCAACATTCTAATGGAACAGAGTTTTGCTATTTGAAAAATAGTGCTCATTGGGGAAATTGTGGCACAAATATTATGGGAGTAACCAACCACTCTCTAATTGGATTTAAGGTCCACTTCATAGAATGACATTTATGTTAGGCTTAGGAACCTTAGGCTAGACAGGTCACAGGACACAGGGAAAAGGCTAATACTATTATTCTGCTAAATAGATATAGTATTAAACTGATTCCTAAAGGTTTATTGTTACACCAGTTGCTTAATACATTTCAAAATTCTCACCAGAGCAGTTTCCTGTTGTAGCAGATGGTGATTAACACAGATACCCACAAACTGGCCAATGTGCAGAGAACAGGAGACTGTAGAGTGCTTATCCCTGAATAGGACACCTATATCAAACTAGTGCCTCTCAAGGCTCAGGGATTGTTGTGGCAGAAAGATTGTAAGAGCCAGAGGTGGTAGATGATAGAAAAGAAACAGTTTTCTAGACAGCTAGTGTCCTAGTTTGTTCTCCATTGCTGTGACAAAACACTCTGACCAATACCAACTTGTGAAGGAAAGGGTTTATTTGGCTTACATCTCCCGGGTCACAGTTCATCAGGGAGCCCAAGGCAGGAACTCAGGGCAGGAACCTGGAGGCAGGAGCTGAAGCACAGGCCATGGAGAAATGTTGCTTACTGGCTTGCTCCCCTGACCTCTGCTCAGCCTGTTTTCTTATGCAACACAGGCCCACCTGCCCAGGGGTGGCACCCACAGTGGGCTGGGCCCTCCCACATCACTCAACAATCAAGAAGATGCCCCTCAGACACGGCCACAGGCCAGTCCAATGCAGGCAATTCCCCAATTGAGGCTCCCTCAACCCAGGTGTGTCAAGTTGACACTAAAGCTATCCAGCACAGCTAGGAAGTTACTCATATGAACTCACAGCAATGGTAACAGCATGCACAAGCTATGCTATGCAAGCTCAAACCAGAGAAAATCCCAGCACAGACCTGGGGAAGTGGGTAAGAAACCCCAATCCAACCTAAGGAAACTTCGGCAACTGATGGGTGCTGGGAGGAGGAGAAATGGTCTCTTTGAAGCATGAGACTCTTGGTAGGTTGATCAGGCTGCAGTGGATGGATCCACACTGAAGGACATCTGGGGACACTAGACTCTATAGGCCTCATATATTATATCTATAGTACATTAAATTGGGTAGGGGACAGTAAGGGGAGACGCAGCTGGGGGAGGAGATCTAAATATCATCAAATTGTATTGTATGAAAATTGTAAAAATTCAATAAAAAGAGAAAAGTAGTAGTGCTTTTTAATTTAACTAGCAACCAGCACTGTCTCGCACTGAAGACCTCTTTGGTTTTCTGGTTGAAGACTTGTGACTCTCTTTTCCATCTGTGCTTGAATGATGCACCGGCTCACTGACTTAGGTTCACGGACTTAGGTTCCTTTCTTTAAAAACTAAGGTATTATTTATGTGCAATAGTATTTAATCTATTTTAGGTGCATATGGATTTGGGTAATTGTAGACAATTGTGTAGTAGCTGCCATATTGAAGATAGAGAATAATTCATTTTAGAAACGTTTCCTGTGTAGGTACTGGTTTTAAGAGATACATTGTGCTGGTGAGATGGCTCAGTGAGTAAAGGTGTCTGCTGCCAAGCTTGACAACAGGAGTTCAATCCTAGGGACCCACCCATATGGTGGAAGGAGAGAACCAACGCCCACAAATTGTCCTTTGACCTCCACACACCTGCAATGGCATGCTCCTCCCCTCCCTTGTCAGCAAAATAAATAAATACAAATGTAATTGAAAAAAATAATGTTTACAAGTCAGTTGGGGTTCAGAGTGAAAAGACTTGAGGTCACTACATGGGCAGCTTTCTGGAATAAGGGACATTCACTGGATCCCAGAGTATATGAAGTTCATGATGCGGATCAGCCTTCAAATGTTTGAAAAGCTGTTTTACAGAATAGGCAGTGTTGCACCAACATGAAAATATTAGAGCTATCTTGACTCAATAAAAAAAGAAATCTCTAAAAACAGCATAATGACTGTAGATGATAAAGGTTAAGTGGGAATTAACATGAGGGCTGTGGGTGAAGCTCAGTGGTAGAGCCCTTGCCTGGTATGCAGGAGGCCCTGGGTTCCATCCCCAACACCGTTAAAAAAATTAGCCCAGTTAAACATCTGGGAATGGGTAGAGTCAGAATTTGAACTCAGGTTACTCTGATTCTAAATCCAGAGTTTTCCAATCTACCATAATGCTTTAAAAGTTCCATTAGAGTCAAGAGAGTATAGCCTAAAGACAAGATAGCTTGGCATGAGAAAGTGACTCTGATGTTGGTCAGTTTAAACTTCTTGCCACTGGCTTAGGTCATGCCTGAGTTTAGGGCAAAATAAAAGCCCTCAGAAGACAGGTGGCCTGCCCTTTGTGAGTGGAGGAAGCATGAGGCCACCCAGTCCCCAGCCTGGAGCTTGCCTTGTCTCACTGCCGAGAGCAACTCCTGCCCTGAATTGGGAGTGTGGGTAGAAGATCCAGGTGAGTGAGAATGGCTTGTGTGGGTGTGGCTGATAGGGAGCAGCTGCTGATTCTGGCTGGGGCTAGGGGCCAAATCTGCAGCACCAGCTGACAGAGGAGCTTGTGAGAATGCCTTCCACTCCAGAGTGAAGTGGAAGGTAGGTATTAGTAAGGACAGCAATCAGGTGAGAAGTGCTGTGGAGGCTGGGGCAAGGAAGATAAAGAGGAGGGTGCTGGGCTTTGCTTCTGAATTCTTGGTGAGTAGGCAAGTAAGAGATAGGGCAGTGGGAGGAAGGCTAGGTAAATCGAGGGCCTTTGTCTTCTTCACTGGGGCTTATTGGCCCACTGGCTGCCTTCTGGATAGGAGTTACACAGTTTCTTGCTTCCTAGGAAGGCCAGAGTATGGAGGATAGCAGGTGCTGAGCCTCTACCCTCACCCCGAGCTAGGGACAGTGGAGGCTCCTACTAGGATAGGGGTTGTTTGGGTGTGACCCAGGCCTCTCTGTTCATTAGATAGCGTGAGGAAGACAGAGGCAGCTCCTTCCTGGCTGCCCTTCCCACCTCTTCTCTCCCCTCCTCATTGTGTGGGAGCACAGACAAGGGGTGCTCCCATTCCTCACATTGTTAGCTGGTGGGCCAGGGCACTGTGTTTGCTGAGGGCTCTTCAGGGTTTCCAGCTCGGGGCCCTGCCAGCTGGCAGGGAGCAGGACAGAGGTCACTTGAACTCAGACCGCACATCCCTGTTAAATACATCAACTTTTAAATCAATCCTTGTCCAAAGTCCAGTGAGTTCTAAGACTGGTGTTCACAGCAGAGAGAATCCTGAGTGACTGAGTGGTTCTTTTTCCTGCAGGTAAGAACTGGCTTATGTGCCCTGATGAGGGTGCCAGCCACCTGGGCCCATGCAACTTTCTCTTTTTCCTAGCAAGTGGCTGGCTGCCCTGGATTTCAGGAGAGAGGCCTTGGGGAAGGACACCAGACCTTTGGTGGTGGCAGGGGGAGTCTGAGGATAGTGGGAGATTGTCTTTGCTCTGAAATTCTTCTTGCTGGAGACACCCGTGACCTGTGAAGGTTAGTTAGGCTCTATTTCACAAAGGCACTAGTTAATGGGCTGCTCTCTGAATTGTTTCTTTCCTGAGGGGTTGCATGGGGATTGTTTGGGAAGCAGTATGGAGGGTTAATGTATAGTCAAGAGAGTGGGGTAACAGACCTCATGGACACCAGGGAAGTTTCTCCTGGAACCTTCTACTCAAGGCTTTGGGTGTGAGAGAAGACTCCCTTTTCCAGAGGCAACCCTTTAAGATACAGCATGATTTAACCTTTCCACTGGGTAATCAAAGCAGACGCCTCCTCTCTACCTCTCATGACCACATAAGACTCGAGCAAAGCCCAGCTGATTCCTGGCTGGCTGAATTTGGAAATGCAGATCCTTAGAGTCTGCCCTTTGGGAATCTCTAAATCTTTGGGTCTTGTGTGAATCTGAAAAATCTGTGCTACCCTGAAGTTCTCCCACTAGGAACTCATTTCTTAAGCATCATAGCCTTTACCTGAGAGTTTACTGGCTCTGAAGATGACTGGTCTGGGTTGTTTACAGTTATGAAGACTTTGGTCCTGTGTCTGGAAGTCACAGGGCCCTGAGGGCCTCAGGTCATAGCTGTCTAGTTGCAGATAGCCACATGTTCTTTTCTGTACAAACAACTCAGGGACATGGAATTTGTGTCATGGCTGAGTGAGTTGTTCCAAGTTGGTAGCTCTTGTATGCTCTCTACCACATAAAATAAAAAGTTGTTAATGGTGTTGTGTGTTCCAAGATCATCTGCTGTGCAGCTGTTGCTCACCTAGTAAGAACACAGTTCTGGAACATGAATACCTAAAGTTTTGATTCAGTTGGTTGTGATAAGTCATTAAATTCCTTACCTCAATTTTATAACTTATCAAATGAAGGGCGGGCATCGTTTTCCCAGGGTTGTGCTGAAAATAAAAATATAAACATGAATATGGTTGAGGGGACCAAGTTCAAGTGTAGGAAGCTTTTCGAATGTGCATATACAAGATACAGCACGACTTAACTTTCCCACTGGTTCTGTGGAAGAACGGGACGTGTGCAGTTAGTTGGAGATGTTTCTTAGTCTTTTGATGCCCTTGAGCCTTTTTTCCCCCTACCTACAACTAGAGTGTTAAAACTCAATGATCACTAACGTCCTTTTCAACCCAGCATGTATGAGGTGGACTCTGGTGCTTTGAAGGTGGGCTTCTTGCCATTTGAGTACGAATTCAAATGTTACCTCACAAGAAGGACTTTCTAAATCAACCTTCCCCTCCATCTCATCACTATTTCTATCACCCCATAGCACTTGCCATCAGAAAGCATTGCTTTCTTTGTCGGACATTAAGCTTCCAGGCAGTAAGGGCTCTTGTCCTCTGTTACCCATGGTATTCTCTGCTCTTAGAACAGATGCTTAAGAGCTAGGACACTGGGTGTTTTCATAAGCTGCTCCTTGGGTGATGAGGCTGGAAAACTCTGATATTCTGTCAGGCCAACTGAGTTCTAGAGTCTGATCATGTGGAAATGGCCAAATTTTAGTTCAATGATCCTCACATTGTTGCGTGGGAATGGAAGAGAGTAATAAGATGGGGCTCGACAGAGTTTCCTCAAGATTCCTCAGTTACTCTCCCTGGGCCTTCAGGAGAGACTGCCCTGTCCTCTAGGCATCAAAGGCAAGTGATTAAGAGTTTGACCTTTGGGACTGGAAGCTTGTGTTCCAGATGTCACATATACTTTCCTCTCAGAGCCCCTGTTTCCTTCTCAAGTAAGCACAGTGGGACCTAGTTCTTGCGGTTAGGAGAGTTAAGTGGGAGGATGCACACACTGCCTTGCAGAGTCGCAAATGTCACATGGTTTTCAGTTATGTTGCTGATGAGCATGATTTCAGATAATCTTGCCAGCCTATTGGTGATAAGTTTGATAGCAGGAAAGATGACCACTTGCCTACTTGGTAGCTACTGTAAGATTTGCTCTAGCCACCAACTTCTGAGGCTCAAAGCCTGGCTAGAAACACAGATATTTTGCATTCATGAAGCAGGGTGGAATCATGGGAACACAAAAGTAATGATCCAGAAAAGTTCATGGGATGCCCACAGTGGCATTGAGCATATTCTTGGTATGAGACTACCACAGGGGCTATAGTGCCTACTCAGTGTATCTTGATGAAGACACAATAAAGTTCCTCTGAAATCTGCAGGCTTGAATCCAAGGTGCCTCGAAGCCTAACCTGACCTCCTTTCCTTCGTCCTGTATGTGCATCATGGTGGTTCCGAAGCATTTGTTGTTCCATGAGGATATGTGTGCCCTTCTTCCTAGAGCTGCCTTACCCCCCCCATCTCTAACTGCATGATCATAGCACAGTACAACCTCTTAAGTCTGGGAAGTAGGGAAGACTGTGGAAGGAGCCTGCATCCTATATTTGAATCCAGGCTCTGCTTATCCAACCAAGTTAACCTTCCAGAGTCCTTTTATCAATGTTAAACAGCCCATTAGGTTCAATTCAGCACTCATGAACAATATACAGGCTGATATCTGAGCCTAGAAAGAGCTTATTGATGTTGAACAACAGAACATTTTAAATATCCCAGCAGCCATACCACCGCTCGCAGTTATGTTTTCTAACTCTTTCCACCGTGTTCTAGGCTCTAGGCAGGACATGTCTAATCTGGGTTGATCTGATACCTGCCGCAGTGGTAGGTACTAAATATACCTTGCTGAACATAGAAATGATGCTTAAAATTCAAAATATGGAGTGATACTTATAGACACTGCTAGAGATGGAAGGATTTGAGCTGTGACTTGGAAAAGGGTATGTCTTGAATTCAGTCAGTTGGAAAAAGTGTTTGCTTAGCACCTACTATGAATAAGAAGTCAGCAATGGGGAAGGTGATCCAGGGAACGCATGGGGCATGAGCAAAGGGCAGGCAGGGCATGGGTGATCATGCAGAGCCCAATCTTCTACTTAGGAGCAGAGAAGGGTAAGGTAGAGCCGGTTATGCGGACACTCGCTGCCTGAGCAAGGAGTTCATACTTCTGCTGCTTGAATGATGTTTTAGAGACTGACATGAAAGCAAGGTTAGAAAGTTTGTTCAGAGGCGGGAGGACTGCTGAGAGGCCAGATATGAAAAATGTAAGGAGGTAGCAATGAAAGTTCAGGGACTGGATATGTGTCTCAGTTGGTGGAATGCTTTCTCAGCAGGCACACGGCCCTGGGCTTGACCCCCAGTATCACATAAACCAGGTGTGGTGTGTGCACCTGTAACCTAGTGCTCAGGAGGTGGAATCAGGATCCTCGACTATACAGTGAGTTCAAGTAGGACTACCTGAGATTCTGCCTCAAAAATCAAAACCTAAAGAGCCAAGGTACTGGTTTTGGAGGAAACATGAACCCTTAGGAGGGTTTGGCTCTTTTGGGTACTATCAGTATTTTGAGGGCGCCCTCTCAGTGAATGCCTCTGTTCTTATACAATTTTGATTCCGTCTCTTGCCCAGCTCCTAAAACTCTTAGGTAAGTGATCAAAGTGTGGAAGGCTTTGAACTCCCAGACCACAGTCCTGCCATATAGTGCAAAATATCATTTATGGTGGCTGGAGTAGGGAGGATACCAGCAGACCAAATGACCTTTGAGATAAGAGATTCTATATCATAAAGAGAAATAAAAATCACTGGGCCCTTCATCTCTGTTCTCTAGATAATTATCAATGACTCCACCAATTCCCCAGAGTTGAATCTATTCCTGGCTAAGACCAAACAGCAACTATTTCAATGGGGAAGTACAGTTAGCAAATACATATTTTTAGGGCCTTGCTTAACCTTCTGTCTTTGGTATTATTTAAACAAACTTGAGTGGTTGAATTTCCACAGGTGTTGCTTTTGAAAGGAGGAGCCCAGGTGGCCCGAGATATATCATCTGCATCAAAACTGTAAGATGCATTCTAGAAAAAATATTTTTGAAGAAGGATGCAATTGAATTTTATGTCTTGCTTGCTAGAGATATTTGTCAGAAGCTGCTGGGATACATTCAGATTTCTTTAATGCTATTAGAAGAAATAGCCTGTGCTAGGCTCTGAAAGAGATGAACGCTGGCCTAGGTATGAGGCCCTCCTGCCAGGGTTGATGACAGGGAATTTTCAACCTGTGTAAGTTGCTGACTTCACAACCCACAGTCTCTACTAACTATGCTTTTCTAATAGAAGTCTAGTGACAGGTGCATGCAGGCCAGATACACCTGGTTAAACTTCCTGGGACTGTTGCTTTCTCCTTGTTGAAGTTCCTAGGTTTTCTAGACAAGTGTGAAAGTCAGGGGAAGGTAAATAATGCCTAGTTTCAGTGTTAGCAGATAAACCCTGCTCTTCCTTCCCCTTCTGCCTTAATGAAGCAGAAATATTTTATTCCATGCTTACATCCTAGGTTATGTAATCAAGAACACTTTCACAGTCATAGTAACTAGGGTTAAACATTATTCATCACTGGACTTGGGAAGTTTTTACTGTCCAGTAAAACAGTTTCTTGGCTCAGGTTTTATTTTATACAAGTGCCTGTGGGGAGAGGTTCTGCTTTCTTGGTAGTATAATTCTGACTATATGATCGATTTCTAATTACTATTAGATAAGATGACGGTGAGTCCAGATATTCATGACTCATGGTTGTAGATTACAGTATTTATGTAAAAGCTGTACTACATCTGGGCCATTTAGAGACCTGGGCTGTCACACCTGATGGTCACTGCACCAGCCATCACTGATCATAGCCCATGTTTTCCTACCTACAGGCAGAGTCCCTCCTTATCCCACTTCTTTCTAACCTTCTGGAAATTCAGTGGTGCTTTCTGGTGAGTAGACCCATTCCCTAACCACTCCATGGCTACCATAGTTCACACCTGGGCCAGATATAAAGTAACATTTCACTCATTCCAGCCGCTCTCTCATTATGGTTCTTCGGGTACCTGGTGTTCCCTTCTGCCAGAGCTCTTGCTCTCTGGATGGGACTCTTGAAAACTTCAGCTTAGTCTTGAATCTCAGAGTTCTTAGATCTCTAGCTTTCTGACTTACAGGATACTTCTGGGTGAGGGCAAATCTCAGCTCCTTATCTGAGCTTTATTTCATGAGGAGCAAAGGCTTCAGTTCTTTTCAATGGCTAAGATTAGCTTTGCAGAGATGATTCATGGCCTGACAATCACAGTGCCTGCATAGTCTCTAGTTCCCAATCTTCTCCACCTCAAGAAGAAAACCAGGAGCACTGATATAATATACTATAGAAAATGAGGCTCATTCTGTGAGGCCTCCTACAGGGGGTCTGGGCTGTGATGGCTAGCATAGGGTGGACATCTGTGTTCCAGATGTGTTCAGGGGTTTCCCACCTGACACGTAGAGTCACTGTCTCCACCAAGGGGTACTTCTGTCTTAACTCACCCATACTTTCATAGCTAACCAGGGGTGACATGGGATTCACAGCTAGGTTTAGGTAAAAACTCTTGCCTTTTCTAATGCACTTTACCCAGAGTAGAATGCTGTTGGGGAGAGGGAGGCAAACTGTTTTAAGTTCTAATTGTCAGCTGCATGCAGCTGCTGTGGAATTCTGTTCCTGGAACTATTTTACTCTAAAGAACTTTCACAACTTCTTACCCCCCGCCACCCCACTACCCTACCACCCCAGTGTGGCATCCTTGATGTAATTGGGCAGTTCTGGCTTGTTCTTTTGGTTCTCCAAATGAGTACAAGTTAAGAGTTCCTTGTTGAAATGAAAATATATCTGCTTTCCTTTCTACCAATCCACAAACAAGGAAGAAAAGTTTGGCTAGATTTCCCAGGGGTTCCTTGGAAAAGACAAAATGATGGCTCTGGGAGCTGTGGAGCTATTCCTCTCCTGGATCTGTCCCCTCAGATCTCCAGGTGCAGGGGCTGCTTTTGCATTTCCAAAAATCTTCAGAGAAGAGGTTTTGGTCCATTTCCCTGGACATCTCCTTGATTCATTTTACACAAATCTAGACTTGTAGGTTCCCTTGAGGGATGGCGTCTCTGGCACCCTCACGACAGCTGTCTGCAAGCATTAGCAGCCATCCAGCCATAGTCTTTTCCCAAGTGCCCCCACTGATTTGTCTGCTTTAGCCTGGTCCATATTTTGGTGTGACACTTTTTCTCTACCCTGCCAAAGTTCCTAATTTCCTACTTTTCCAACTACTTTGCAAGAGGGATTGAAACTATTTTCTTTATACCATTTTCCCCCTTCTTCCCCCCCACTGGTGGACTAGTCTGTTTGCCACACCATCCCTCATATGTACACGTGCTGACAGTTCTCAAGTTAAAAACAGGAGCATCTGTCATCCCCACTTCCCTAGCTCTCATCTTTTCCAAGAGGTGTCTATAGTAATCGAGTTTGTTATTTAGAATCCGTTTGCTTGACAGTGACCTATCTGGTTTGGGCTTTTGTTTTCTCAATTTGATGGCATTTTATATTTTTATTCCATCTCTTGGCATCACTTGACGATGTTGAGTGTCTTGTCTTGAGATTCCTCTTTGGATAGTACGCTAAACCTTGGCTTTCTGCTGACACTTCCTGTTTGCTTTATCATCCACTCACCTATCTAGAAATCCCCAAGCTTGGTCCTTGGCTCTCTTCCTGTCGTATTCTCATCATAAGCTTCACTGGCACCTCCATGCAGGGGGTCCTGGACTCCATCTTACATCACCAGAGATACCAAGAGAACTTCTGCTGTGCCCTCTTGTTTAAACCCACTACAAACTGACTTTGCCATCCCATTCCTCAAATATATCATTGTATTTTTTAAAAAACAAGGTCTCTCTCACTATGTAGCCCAGGCTAACCTCAAAGTCACATTCCTTCTGAACAGCCCCAAATGTGGGAATTACAGGTGTGTGCCACCATGCCTAGCCAAGACTATGCCATACTTGCCCTTTGAGTCCTTCTCTTTCCAACACCTGCCCATGTAGGTAGAATTACTTAGAAGATGATAGGCACTGCTGTAACAAAATGATAAGGGCTGGCGGTTTAAGGAATAGAAAGTTCTAGAGTCTGAAAGTACACGGTGAAGATGTCATCAGGTTGGGCCCTCTCGGGCCTCTCCTCAATTTTCCTTGTCTCTGTGTTCTCACATCTTTTTCTGTATGAGGGCATCTCTGCATCTCATCCTCTTTCAATAAGGGCACCAGTCCCACTAGATTTGGGTCTCACCCTTACAACCTCATATAACTTTAGTTACTACTTTAAAAGTCCCTGTCTCTGAATGCAGTCACACTGGAGATTGGGTTCATTATATGGGTTCAAGGGGCACAGGTAACATTGAGTCCATACTAGAAGGGATGTCCCTTGCTGGAAGGTATGAAAAGTACTAGAATTGATTAGTAGAAATAACCGGCCAAGGAAATAAGTTCAAAGAGAGTTATAAAACCGGCCCTCATGGAGAAGCAGACAGACTAAGCAATGGTTGGGGAGCTTGAGTGTTCCTGCAGCTCTGGGACTGAGAGGAGCCACAAGTGCTGCTGTGTTTAGAGTGGAGCTATGCCCTCAGGACACTCAGTTGTGGCCTCAGGACACTCTGTGCCATGTGGGGCCCTTCCTCACAGCAGTGAAACCGCAGCAAAAGCTGTCTAGAGTGAGCAGGGAGCAGGGGGAGCCAAGGAAGCCTGTGGCTGGCACACTGGGTACCGAGTTCTTGCTGTTCTCTTGCACACAGGTCCTGGGCAGGGTAAGCATGTCATTGCACCTGCTCTGCCTGATACCATCTCTGCATGAAGAAATCTGAGGGGACAGAGTGAATGGATGCAATCAGCTGCCCTGTCCTCTGTGTAGCTCCTCTGCCTGTCACCTTCATTCTGCTGCCACAGCTTCTTTTATCATCTGTGTGGATCACTGTAAGAGCCTGCTCCCTGGCTGCCTCTGCTGTGTTTGTGCCAGTTCAGTCCATCAACCATTCCCTGATCTTGCTATTTCCTCTGCTGAAAACTGAGTGGTACCCATGACCATCAGACTAAGGCAAGATCTAGGCTGGGACTGAAAGTCAGAGCCTACCATTTGCAATCTCCCTTCTTTTGGATTTTCAGCTCTTCCTGAACCATTACCAAGAACTTTCCTACTCCATGCCCTGATGGCCACATCATTCTCTGTCTAAAATGGTCTCCTCCTACCTCTGATCCTGTTGAAACCCCACCCATCTGTTGTCAAGGCCTAAGTAAAATCCTCCTTAATTTGTGAAGTGTTCCTTAATTCGTCCTTCAGTGCACATCTTTGGCATGTATACTCTATTCATAGTAGTAATCTTTGTATTAAACCTTTTCTGTAACCTGATTCAACTCTGAAGTTCTTTGAGAACAGAAGTGTTTTATATATTAGTGTGGGTTGGACAACGTTGGCATGAACATGTGAATTGGGTCTGAGGTAATATGTCCTCTTGATTAATGGAAAACTGAAGGAGTTGTGTTCATGGTCCCAAAGAGACTTCACCTGTCCAATGCTGGTGGTTAGAAGTAGTCTTCATCCACTTGATTCTGTGTCTGCCTGGCTCAGAACTAGAGCTTGGGGAGAAAGACACAAGGTATAGTCTTTAGGTTGTCATGTCCTCCTATACCAGGCACTATGGCTGGGCATTCACTATGGGCAGAGCCAGATCCTGAGGACTGCACAGGCTGACCAAGGGTCTCTCCTAGCCAGGCTGTCACTTTGGCTTCTCAAGGGGGGTAAAGGTAAGCTCGGGGTAAAGGTGACTGTTAATAGTTCACCCAACCATGACATTCTTCTGTGATCCAAGAGAGTTTGTCCCTGAGATGAGAGGAAGAGGAGTTAAGCAACATGGGGTGATTTCAAGACCTAGTTTCTTTGCTTATGCTTGGCTATCAAGCCTGGAGAGTATGCGCCCAAAGTAAGTGTGTATCTTTGCAACTCTGTGCCGGTGATTCTGAGGGATGACTAGGACTGAGACCCAACTTGTAGGTAACTGAACATTGAGATGATCTCCCATACCTGACAGTGAGTTTTTACAGCATAATTTGTTATTGCCAGCAGTGCCTGATGGCCTGTGGGTTTATATAGCTTTAAATAAGCCTATCTGCTCAGAGATGAAACCAGTCGGCAATTTTGGACAGGGATAGACAATCCTTAGGGTTGAGGGGAGGCACAAAGATGCTGTAATTCTTGCTGATTTTACTCCTCTAGGAATTGCTATTAGGTTAACTTCCTCAGAAGGCTTTACTTTCCCCAGTCTGTATTTTGCCTGGTTCTAGCTCCAGAATTCCTGAGGACTGGAGTACAGGATAGTGATACAGTATAGGCTCAGGTTTAGTACCCCAGCACTACAAAACAACAAACCTCAAACAAAAACCAAAATAATACACAGAGGCTCACAGGAGCTAGACAAATAACAGGTGTGTTTGTGTGTGCTCACGTGTGTGTGTGTGTGTGTGTGTGTGTGTTGTGTATGCATGTGGATACCAGAGTTCAACCTAGGTGTTGTTCAAGTATTGTCTATATTGTTCTCTGACACAAGGTCTCCCACTGGCCTGAAATAGGCTGGCTGGCCAGTGAGCCCCAGGGATCTGTCTGCTGTCTTCCCAGCTCTGGCATCACAAGTGTGTGCCACCACGCCCATGGGTTCTGGGGATCAAACTCAACTTCTCATCCTTGCAAGGAAAGCACATAACTGTGTATTTGGGGAGGATCCTATGTTTATGTTTGTGTTTGGGACACACTTTGTGTTGTTAGATTCCCATTGGCCTTGGGATGATCAAATATTTTTCAGGAGATCATGAAGTTGGTGACCTAAGTGGCTTTCAGACCTTTTTACCCATCCTCTGTCTGGGTGGGCTTATGGGTGCTCATGCCTGTGATGTTTCTTAGTAGGACATTTCCACCTACATGTAACAATTACCTGGGAACACTATTTTTCACGTGAGATGGCCTGACGGGGCAGGCAAGCCCTTACCACAAGCTCCATTGACAGTGGGATCAACAGAAATGGAGTCTTACCTTTCTCCAAACAACAGTGTGAGGAAAGTCCTGCAGCTTTCAGCCCCAGACACACAAACTGAGGGCAAAGTAAGATTTCCTTTTAACCTTTGCCTACTAAGCTGGACCTTCTGGCTGTTTGGACCTATTGGTAGCCCTGACCTCTGTAGGCACAGCTACAAGCTCTGGCTTCCAGCTGCCCTTGCAGAGGAGCTGCTGAGGGTGGGTATTGACTAAGGACTGATGGTAACCCATGTGGATGGAGAGCGGAGAGGCCCTGGCCTGCCGTGGGCTTAGAAGAGGACTCTGGTCCCACCAGCCACTTCTTTCCTGTGAGAAAAGCCCAGTAGTTTTAATTTTTTCTGCTCTGACCACAGACGGAGGTCCCTCCTAACACACCTGTGGTCATTACCTCACCTTTCTAACTTCCAGAATGCACCTAACTTTTCTTCTCTAACTAAGGCATATCATTCTTTCTTGGTAGCAAGAGTGGAATTCTTTTGGAAGAAAAGGGGTTCTAAAGGTGGGATTAAGAAGATTAATAATTAAGACCAATGGAAAAACACCTCTTCGGTGCTATTAACTCTGAGCCTTTCCTGTCTGCCGGTGAGGGCCTTTGTTCTTTTTCCCACAGACAAGCAACTCTGCTGCCAAGAATTGACTTTTCCTGTAGGTTTAGACAGGGTCATGGCTTCTTCTCATCTTCAGGACTTTATTTTGATGACTGAGACTAATGCTTATTGAATCTGATCCACTTCAGCTTGGGAAGATGTTCCAGAAATCCCTAAGTCTTCACTGGTTACCTATGATGCATCCACCATAGGGGTTTGGTCCCCAGTCTTTCTCAGCAAGCAGTAGATGGGCTGGGGGATGAAGAATAGAAAACAGATCCTTAAGTGCAATATCCTTATTTGGGCCAGTGTTTGGTGTCCCAGGTATCCTTTTATGGGCACTGACATAGACTTGCTAGTCACAGACCCTGCCTTGATTGAGGAGTTATGTAAAACCAGGATGTGGATTAAACAGAACCAGGAATGGAGGTGGACCAGAGTGTGGTCCTCTTGATTTCAAGGTGAATCAGCTTTCCGTAACACCACAAAGGAAACATTTTGTGCACCAGGGGTCCCATGTAAGGTCAGGCACTTGGGGTCTTGGGTGGCTTTCCCCATTGGCTGAGGTGAGAGTGGCTTGGGTATATGCTGATAGATGGACACCAGCTTTAGTTCACTGGTGGCTGAACTGAGGTCGGCAGATGTGACAGGGGGCACATGGAGCTACAGGCAGTAGCCTTTCAGCAGTGCTGTCTCTGTGAACTAGCTCCAGCTCTTCACCCACAGCGGTGGGAAGAAGCTGTGCCTGAGCCTTCAGAGCCATGGGTGCAGGTCTCACTGTTCTCAGTCTGACTATTTGAAAACTTTGACCAGCCAACCAAATAAGACACGGCTTGAGGCTGTGCCAAGAGATAGTAACTCAGTTTCCTTTTATGTTGGGTTTTTGGATGTCCAGTGAGATGGGAAAACATCCCCCCAATGCAGGCCTTGTCCTCCTAGAGGAGGGGTTTCACATTCCATCCTTGACCTGCAGAGAATGAGATGAAGACCCTTGGTGATCACTACAGGGTATAAGACAGCTGAGTTTTAAGGTGGATGACTTAAAAATGAGCATTCATCTGTTGATACAAACAACCTCTTCTCTTAATAAAAAACAGTCTCTTAATAAAAACAGCCTTCGTTCTGGTGGTAGGACATGTTTTGCAGCATTTAGATGAGGTGGTGTGATCCTCACCTGAAGGCTTTGGTTGTTCCCTTCAAGACTTTTTAGCCCCGTGGAGTTGAGAACTGGCAGGGGTCTAGACAGGAGCATCAGAAAACTAAGATGATGTGTGCAGGTTCAGCAGAAAGAGAAGGGAAAGACCAAAGCTAGAATGAACTGGAAGCAGGTGCCTGCAAGTGAGGGGAAGTGGCTGGTGGTGTCCTGCATTTGTCCCCATTCTCCCTAAGTGGCCTTTTCTGGGTTGTGGCTTTTGATGTGGCAGTGCTGCCCATGCCTGATTCTGTGTGGAGAACATTTGAGGTGGCTGAGTCATTGGGCAGCGGGAGGCTTCCTGCTCAGTTGTGCTGCCCGTCTCTGGGCACCAAGGTCAGAGACGGCTATCTTCAACCATCACAGCAATGCTTCTAGGGAGCCTGAAGCATATTGTTGTTGCCTGTTCTCCACTCTGCTTCCCCCCTGTTCTATATGGTAACCTCTTCCTGTCACTCTAGGAGGAAAAGGACATGTTACAGGTATCTGTGATGAGGAGGACACAGAGCTTGCTCTGAAGACAGGTGAAGGAGCTGACTGTAACCATCTGTTGTATATGTGTCAGCCTCTTTCTGGGCTGGCCTCCAGTCCTACTGATCTAGGGGGCCTTGGAGTCCCCAGAAGCCTTCTCACTTCCCTTAGCAGTACTGAACTTGGGCCCCAGGTATTGTTTCCCACATCTTCCTGTCTTCCTCTAGCTCAGAACCCTAGTTCTTTAGTGGGACAACAGGAGGGGCAGGATGGGTAGAGACAGAAGTGCCTTGGGAAGGAGAACCCTGACCTGCCAACAGAGTCCTTTCCTGGGCATCCTTACTCTGGTTCTGACTAGAAACTTCTGGGTCTTCTCTGGCCCCTTTCTCCTTCCCTCTCCTTCCCTCCCCTTCCCTTCTCTCCCCTCCCCTCCACTCCACCTTCATTTATTTTTTCACCATTTCATACACAGGCGCGTGCACACACACATACACACAGTGGACTTTGATTGTATCGCCCCATTATCTATCTGCTCTTAACCCCTTCCCATGTGCATGCTTTTTTGGTGCCCCACTGTATTTAATTAGCACTGCTTGTGTGAGCACAGGTGAGCACATCCACTTTTTCTATTGTGTTACCAACATGCCAGGCCGTCTCTGAGGGAGGCCTGGTTTAGCTCCTCAGCTGTTTGAAGCCTTCCTTGCCTGTCCTGCTCACCTGGTTCCCACTAGCCCTGCACTTCTTGGACTGTCATTTCTCCAGGGAGCCAGTTTCATTTCTTCCCAAAGATCCTTTGTTCCATTGTCCTGCATCACTCAGCTCTTCCTTAGCACAACCCTCATCACATTTGTTTGAAGGGCAACGTGTGGTTCCTCTGGTCCACAGATTATCCTCAGTGCCTAGAACTTGGTCGGTTCATCAGATTTTTGAGTGGCAGTGTCCTTTGTGGAGCCGAATCTGAGTAAAGCACATGGTGTGCGAGCACGAACGTGTCTTAATGATGCCTCCTGGGGCTGGGGGGTGGATCGCCTAGTAAAGTGCTTGCCGTGCAAGCATGAGGACCCGAGTTTGGATCCCAAGTTCCCATATAAAAAGCTGGGCGTGGTTGATGTGTGCCTGCAGTCCTGGTATTCAGGAGGCAGAGGCAGCAGTATCTCTCTCTGGGTTCGCTGGCCAGCTGGTACAGTCAAATCCTTAAGCTCCAGCTTCAATCAGAGAAGCTGTCTCAAAAAATGAAATGGAGAGAAATCGAGGAAGACACCTGACATTGACCTGACTTTTACACACTTTGCACCTGTGTACACATGCATGAATACACATCGCACGCATGCATGCATGCACATAAAACACATGCACAATAAGATAATAAAGTCTATATAGAATGCTAATAAAAAGAAAGTTAAAAAAATCTTTGGAGCATATATTTAGTTTAACTTTAGGGTATGAGAGGAAGATGAGTTTGGTTAAAGCCACTGAAATGAAAGCATCAGTGTTCATGTGTGGTTGCAAACATGGGTCTGAAACTCAAGTAAAAAGGTCATTCTTGGGGAAATAGATTGGGAAATCAATAACGTGCTGAACAAAGGCCTCCTAGCCCTCCAGTGTTGCTGCGCTGTGCAGAGGAACGGCACTGCAAGAGCAAAGTTGCAGGAGGTGGCAGGCAGGCTCTCACTTTGTCCAAAGAGATTTTCCTGCCCATGGATTCATCCATTTATTTTCACCACAGAAATGGCCTCTACCTTCAATCCCAGAGAGTGTAAACTGTCCAAACAAGAGGGCCAGAACTACGGCTTCTTTCTGCGCATTGAGAAGGACACTGCCGGCCACCTGATCCGGGTGATTGAGAAGGGGAGCCCAGCGGAGAAAGCAGGGCTCCTGGATGGAGACAGAGTTCTGAGGATCAATGGTGTCTTTGTTGACAAAGAAGAGCATGCGCAGGTAAATGGACATTTGGGGCTCTTCTGTCGTCTCTTAGCGTCCACATCTCCACAATGATTTTGGGATCAGTGGAGCTTGAGTCCTGGTTGCCACTAGCAAGGATTTATCATTGTATTTTAATTTGGCCAATCTAGTTACTTATAATTAACCAAGAACTGTAAAAATTATATTTTAGGGCCTGTCAGATTCCTCAGCGAGTCAAGGTGCTTGCAGCCAAGCTGACGACTTTAATTCAATCCCTGGGACCCCGCTGGTGAAGAGAGAGGACTGATTCCCATACATTGTCCCCTGACCTCCACACATGCACCATGGCACATGCATGCCTTAACACACACACACACACACACACACACACACACACGCACGCACACGTACACACACTCATATGCACATGTACTTAACTAATTAATGTTATACTTTAATAGTGTTAGGTCTAATCTGAATTACCTGTTTGCTGCTTGCAAGGAACTGTGCCAAGCAATGTTTTATGAATGATCTATTAAATCCTCATCACAACCCTGTGAGGTGTATGTGACCATTGCACAGAGGAGGCCGCAGTGTATGGGGAATTTGCCTTGCTAATATTCACCATCCTTTGACCTATTCTCCTTCACTACACCATGCTTCCTCGCTGCATTTGGGGAGACTTGGTGTACTGTAGGGCAGCATCTATCTCTAGAAAGGACCAATCCTTATAAGAGCTCCCTGAATTCCCTCAGAGCCATGGCCCTAGCCTAATCTCTCCCGCATTTTGGGAATGTTGGGGTGAAGGTGGCTGGTTCCTGTCTCTTAGGATGTGGGTGTCAGGTCAGCTGTCAGACCTTTAGGGTCACATGATGATCATCTCCCTCTTGCAGTTGATGGGGGTTCTGAGTCAAAGTTTTCCTTTAAATACTTTCCCCTTTTCTTCCTAGGTGGTGGATCTGGTCAGAAACAGTGGGAATTCAGTGACTTTACTAGTTCTGGATGGGGACTCCTATGAGAAGGCCATAAAGAAGCAGGTAGACTTGAAAGAGTTGGATCAAAGCCTGAAGGAGCCGGCTTTGAATGATAAGGAACTGGCCCCTGTGGTGAATGGAGGGGTGGAGACTTGTACCCAACCACGGCTCTGTTACCTAGTGAAAGAGGGCAACAGCTTTGGCTTTTCTCTGAAAACCATCCAAGGTGAGCTTGGGTAGGGGCTGGACAACAGCCTTCCACAGAAAGATGTTACTAGTTGATGACCTTCTCTGACTTTGCAGCTGCTATAGTTGTCTATAGCAGCTTTACTTCCTCGTCCTCCTCTTCCAGCCCTTTCTCTTTCCTGGCACAGCTGTACAGTGAGAGACAGAACACTGGACAGCAGCAAGGACAGAAGGGAGTGCTGGAGACTCTTCCCCCTAGTCTTTGTCAGGCTGGCCTTCGTGGCCGGAGGGTCTGAGGGTTGATGCTTTGTTTTCTTCCAACTCTCCCATAGGGTGAAGGTGGAGGGGAGGCAAGAAGGAAGTAGGTCATCATAATGGCTGCCTTTGAGTAAGACTGGTATCTCTCTTCATTGCTCAGAGTGACCACACGGTCATTCATATATTCAAATTCTTGAGCACCCACTGACATGTCAGAACACTATAGAGTTGCTGAGGGTACTGCACAAATCCCTGTCCTTCTGTGACTTTATAGTACCCTCAGTGGTGGCCCAGCATCAACTGTCCTGAGATGTGACCCTGGCTTGAGGTCAAGAGGAACATAGTTGAGACTCTCTGGCCCTTAGGAAGTCCTAGAGGTTCCGTTTCTGTGGTTTCAGAAGCATACACTGTGCTGTGCTCAGGTGACTGGAGTTCTATAGCATTTCCCCTGGGGTACTAGTTGGAATTGGAAGTGCTGTGCTAGCTGGTTGATTCCAGCACTAATGTTGCCCCTGTCCACATTATTTCTGGTACTGGAGAGGTACTGATGCTTGGTCATGATTTGGTAAGTGATAAAGACAAAGACTAATGATAAACTTAAATGGTTTCATAGGTTAACTGACCTTTGGCAAGAGATATAAACTAACCACGAGAGAGTACGTTCTCAATGCCTGCATCCTCAAACACAGTGGTGCTGGTAGCCAAAGGAAATTTGGCATTTCTTAGGAGTCCATTATCAATAAAATAGTTTTTAAAATATATTTTTTTAATTTATTTTACGTGTATGATGTATTGCCTGCATGTATGTGAGTGCACCCGTGTCATGCAATACCACTGAAGTCAGAAGAGGGCTTTGGATTCCCCTGGAACTGGAGTTAAGAACAGTTTGTAGCCACCACGTAGGCACTGGGAATTGAACCTGGGTCCTCTGCAAAGTGCTCTTAACCACTGAGCCATCTCTCCAGCCCCAATAAAATAGTTTTTTAAAAAAGGTCATTGAGGTGGCTCAGTGAGTAAAGGCTTGCTGCCAAGCCTAATGATCTGAGTTCAACCCCCAGGGCCCTCATGGTGGAAAGAGAACCAACTCCCTCAAGTTGTCCTCTGACTTCCATATGCATGTTAAAATATGCACACATGCACACACACACACGTAATAAAAATAATATAAAAATATCAAAATTCAGATTCTACTCATTTGGCTCTTGTGCCAATGCCCATAGCAAATGGTTTGTTAGTTTTATGAAGGAAATATTTTCTTTATAACAAAATAGAACAAGGCAATGTTAAATATATAAAGTATAGCAGTGGTTGGTCCAGAAAGGAAGTTGATAACATTATTCCCTTCAGGCATAAGATTTATTATCTAATGTTGCCCCTGTCCACATTATTTGAAGGCCATGGCTGGGTCTTGAAGTGGGAGGGAGAGCATTAGACAGAAAGAATACAATATCTGGAGGTTTGAACATAGTGGGAAGGAGAGGCTTCCCTTAAAACCTGGAGAGGAGCTTCATTAGTGGGGGAGAGAGAGAACTAAGGGGGAGGGCAGGATGCAAGGTATATGGGGCGGGGGTCTCTACAGAGAGCAGCCTTCAAAACAATCTCCCAAGCAGTTCTCTTGAGGAGTCTCTGGACCAATTACCCCTGATAAATGACTAATCAGACCTTTTATAATCTTTTAGGGTTGGCAGGAAATTTCACATCACATGATTTAGGTCAGCATAATGTATGTGACAAGGAGCACAGGGGAGCAGTTACCATAAATGGAGAGCTGTCAAGTCACAGCACAGACTGCCTCCTAACTATCCAGAGAGAGCTAGCTATAGGGAGCTGTGACCTGATTCAGGCCATGGGATCTGGCGTAAATGTGCAGGCTCATATTCTAATAAGTAACAGGAGAAATGTTAAATATTTAAGAAAGCAGAGTTTAAGTTGCTCTCATTCCTTACCATTAATTTATATTGTCATATAAAGCAAATCTTTGCCTAGGCTGAAATAGTGTCTTGAAAGAATTTCCAGCATTTCTTTAAGTTGCACCTAAATCATACCACATATATGTGTGCCTTTCCCCCCTTTCCTCCTGTCTGACCTTGCTACCCTGCAATAGTGAGATTTAGGGACTCTACCAGCATGTGATGAATGGTGACAATACTAATTAAGCAGGAGGGAGTGGAACAGATACTTTCTAATTCTACAGATGCAAAGGAAGGGAGTCTGATTGATGGGTGTGGTGTGGTTCTTTCTGGTTCAAGAGGTCAATGCTACTGGGCTTAAAAAAATTTTTTTAAAGGACATTTGTGTGTGTGTGTGTGTGTGTGTGTGTGTGTGTATGTGTACGCGTGCGCATATAGATCAGAGGACAACTTGTAGGAGTCGGTTCTCTCTGCCATGTGGATTTGGGGTTGAACTCACGTTGGCAGGCTTGGCACCGGCCTGCCATTGATAGAGACTCTTTCCTTGCATTTAGTTGGACTCAGAAATTATTTTCAAATCGGCAAACACAAGCTGAGTAATGACTGTGTCAAGCTTTGTGTTAGGAGCCAGAACTGATTGTAGATCAGAAGCTGAGGGGATTTGAGTTAGTTCTAAAATTGAAAGTTCTAAATTTCACATTAGTGAGAGAAAACCCTTTACCACCAGACTTATACTTTTTCTATGCAAAGGAATCCACAGTGTCCAACTCTTCTTCCAGGTGGAAAGGGAGTGTACATGACTGACATCATACCTCAGGGTGTGGCCATGAAAGCTGGTGTCCAGGCTGAGGATCGCTTGATTGAGGTGAATGGAGAGAATGTAGAGAATGCCAGCCATGAGGATGTGGTGGAGAAGGTATGCCCTGTGACCTGTCTGCACGCTTTTCTTTTTTTCTTTTTTTTTTTAACACCTTTAAAAATTTATTTATTTATTATTTTTTATTTATTTAATAACCATATAATTAGAAGAAGCATTTCATTATAACAACATTGACATATTCAATAACAATTTCCTGAGCTAAGATGCATCTCTTTCAAAATTGGCTGTGAATTTTAAGATTACAGTTGAACTAATACAATTATATAATATTGTACTCAGTATAAACTGAATATGAT